ATTCTCCTGCCTCAGCCTCTCCTGAGTAGTTGGGATTACAGACACGCGCCACTGTGCCCAGCTAATTTTTAGTAGAGACAGGTTTCACTATGTTGGCCAGCCTGGTCTCGAACTCCTGACCTCGTGATCTGCCCGCCTCAGCCTCTCAAAGTGCTGGGATTACAGGCATGAGCCACCGCGCCCAGCCCGAAGTTCTTAATAAATTGTTAAATGAACGAACCCAAATATTTAAGACCCAGTGAGGTGTAGATACTGGGGCAACAAAAATGATTGGTATTGTTACCGTTCACCTAAACAATCCAAAGTGACATGTCCCTGATGTATATCTTGTTATAGGAATTTAGTTAATAAATGAGGCATCACATATGAAAAAGGAAGGCGTATCAACAGATAGTGGTTAGGATAACTGGGTAGATGGCTGCCTCATGCCGTATTCAAAATTAACTTCATGTGAATTATAAAATATTAAAACTAATAGTTATAAATATTAACCCTTTGAAGGGTTGACTTTAAGCTAAGGAACAGAAATCAAAAAGGAATCTGATTTGATCACTCAAGGAAGGATTAGTTGCCTACATAAAAAGTAGTGAAAAATAGACAAGGAAAAATACTACTGTGACCACAGTAGTTATCAATGTTCTGTATATGTGGATATACTAATAGAAGAATGCAAAGAACATAGAAACTCAAAAAAAGAAGTTCAATTAATAAAAATACAGGACATATTTCACTTTTATTCTGTTATCTCACTTCTGGGAAAGGCTAAATGAATGAAGGTGTTTAGATTGTTACTTGTAATATCTGTGTGTCTTAATTTTCTAGTTTCATTTAGGAAGAGTATAGTAGGCCAGTCTTGTCTCATTTTTTTCATTGCTTTTTTTTTTTTTTTTTAAACAGATTGCTCCTTCTGAACTGATTCCTTTTCAGCTTTTGCTTGATTTGTCAGATTACCTAGTAGTGTTACTGAATCAAATACAAAAAAGGAAAGGAAATGTATCATACATCTACCACCATTACAGATGAACTGTAAATGTCCCTATGTTTAATTACTCTCCTCATTTGTAGGTATAGGTTTGAATCATCTCTTCAGAAGTTATCAAAGTAACATGCATAAATTAGAAAATAAAATGCCATAGAAGCATTTGTAATAGAAAGCAATATTCTTCTGCCCCTCCCCTTCCAAATTGCCATTCCACATCCAACAATCAACTATTAACCATTTCTGTTCACGGCCATCATATACAGGTTGAGTATCCCTTATCTGAAATGCTTGGGACCAGCAATATTTCAGATGTCAGATTTTTTTTTGATTTTGGAATATTTGCATAATATATAATGAGAGATCTTGGAGATGGGCCCCAAGCCTAAACATGAAATTCATTTGTTTCATTATACTCCATGTACAACTTGAAGATAATTTTTGATAAGTAATTTTGTGCATGAAACAAGGTTTGTGTACCTTGAGCCATCCCAAAACTAAGGTGTCACTATCTCTGTCACCCATGTGGACAATCTGTGGCATCACATTTGGTGCTCAAGATTTCAAGTTTAGGAGCATTTGGGATTTTGAATTTTTGGATTAGGGATGCTCAACCTGTATTTTTATCTCACCAACTTCAGACATCTGTTGACGTTGATGCATAAAGATTTAACTCAAATCTCTGACTCGCCTTAGTATACTTTGTGAGATGATTTTAAAGGCACCTTTTCCTGTCTTTGTATGTCATAACATCTGTAAACTGCACATTCACATATCCCAAGTTAACATTTGCATTTTCTGTTACCATAAAGTCTCCCTTATATCCACAGATTCTAAAATTGAAAATCTAAAGCCAGAGTTTATATAAATACTGTTCACTGGATGGGCCAATTAACAGTCTTGATTGTCTCACCTTTACTATCTTCCTAATTTTATGACTTCTGTGTCTGCAGAGAGAATGGGAAGTGTCAGGGTCAAATGAAAACTGCTCAAAGGCATTCCACATACCAATTTGCTTTGAATTTGGATCACACTTAGAGCAATTTGTTTACCCTGTTTGTAGTGTTTTTTTGTTTTTCTGGGAGACAAATCATGCCTTTTTCCTATTACCTTCCCAGGTTCAATGTTAATTTTCTTAAAAGATCCCAAAAGATATTGGTCATCTTCAATTTTATGATGAATGGGACTTTTAATTTTTTGTGGTACTCAGGGTGCTTTGAAAATTGTCTCTTTTTTTTTCTTGGTCTCTAGGAGTGTTTTCTGTATTTGATAATTTTTTTTCCCCAAGTTTTCCCTGTTCTCTGTTTTTGGAGTTTCTATTAGATTCTAGAACTGCTGAATTCTCTATTGTATCTTTCCTGTTTTTTTCATCTTTTGTATTCTAGTATATATTTTTTACTTTCAACCCTTTAATTAGCAATTGTTTTTAATTCTCCAGAGCTCGCCCGGTCTATATATGTTTAAATGTTGCTTAATAATAGTGAATTTTCTGCTTCACTAGTACTTTTTAAATTCCTGGAATTTCACCTAAGAAATCATGTCTTATGTTGATCATTTGTTTTTCTGCTGCTTGGTGTCAGAAATCTTAAGCCTTAATCATTTTATATGTTGTATGTACACATGCTCCTCAATTTACAATGGAATTACATCCGGATAAACCCACTGTAAGTCGAAGATAGCAGTAAGCCAAAAATCCATTAAATACACCTAAACCTGCTGAACATCATAGCTTAGCCTGCCTTAAACGTGCTGACAACACTTAGCCTGAAGTTGGGCAAGTTCATCTATACAAAGCCTATTTCATAGATGTGTTGAATATCTCATTTATTGAATACTGTACTGAAAGTGAAAAACTAGTTGTATGTGGGCACTCACCATTAACGTACACAACTGAAAGCACACTGGGCTGAAGAATGTTTGAAACATCTAAAATTGCTGGATGACAGGGATGCCATGGTGACAGGGCAATCAATTTCTCTTCTGGTGAGGCTCAAGAATAAGTACTTGGGCATCCACACAGAACGCAGTAGAGTTTGGGTGGTTTACCCTCGCGGTCTTGTGGCTGGCTAAAAGCTGTGTCTGGCTGCTGCCGCCCAGCATCACAGTCTCCATCTACCACATACCGCTAGCCTGGGAAAAGAGCAAAATTCACAGTGCGATTTCTGCTGAATGCATATCGCTTTTACACCATCATAAAGTCAAAAAATCATGTAAGTTTAACCACTGTAAGGGTCCTTTTGGTATATTTAATGCAACTCAAGATCAGCTTTCATCAGATTCTGCAAGTTCTTCCATTTTTGTACTTTTCCCCTCAGCCCTTAGAATCTAGTGCCCTTTTTCTAATTATTTCAAGGTCTGCTCTCAAGAGAAGGCAGAGGTTGAGACGTCACTGATAAGGCTTAACTTTTCCTTGAATTCTTTGCATTTTAATAGGAGTGAAAGACTGTGGCCTTAGCTAAAAGGAAGCTCAAATGTGGAATCGTAAACACCAGCTACATATGTGAGAGTTTGGGAATAATGTTGATGTAGTGGGGAAGGATTGTCAGGGGGTACCTGATTTCACACAGGATGGATAACCTACTTATTCCACCAGTCCCTGGGATCTTGGGGGTGGAGTAGATACGTCTTTTCTAATTTCATTGTTTGCACTGAGAACATTTTCCCCTATTTATTTAATAGAGACAGGGTCTTGCTGTGTTGGCCAGGCTGATCTCGAACTCCTGGCCTCCAAAAGTGCTGGATCACAGGTACATGCCACAGTGCCTGGCCTTGATAACATTTTTATTATATAGGACAGCAGCAGTGCTCAGTTTTCTCCTCGCACCTTCCCCATAGCTTCACACTTGTGCTGGTTTACGTAGTTCTCTCTCATTAGTGCCCTAACTTGGGAGCAGTCATTTTTTCATTTTGTTTGGTGTGGCCTTCATCGATTTTTTTAGTGGATTGAAAATAGTGTGGTATTTCGTTTTCTAAAGCATTTTCTAAAAACTTCGACTTGCCAGTATGTGTTTATGCTCACTGTTGGATTTAGATTCCCTGTTCCACACCGAAGCGCGAACCTAGTACCTCCAGCATGAAACAATCCAGAAGGGAGTCGCCTATGTCCTGGGGCCCTGGCTGGGAGAACGCCGCAGGGCGGGTGGGCTGGTGGCTGGCTGTGTGCGAAGAGCCGCGTCGAAGCTGCTTCCGCCCGCGCGTCCCGAGCTCGCGGAGGCGGGCTCCCACGGGCGGCCCTGACCTGGGGGTCCTGACTGTCTCCCAGCCAGCGGCGGGAGGCTTCCCAGGGGCGGAGCGAGAGGTTGGCCGGGTAGGATGGGGGACTGAGCTGAGAGTCACGGAGCGGTTCCTGCCCCGGGAGCCCGGGCTGGCCACACCCAGGTGAGTGGCACGGTGGGGCGCGGCGCGGCGCAGCTGCGCTGGCCCCGCGGGTTTTCCTCGGGCTTTCACTTTAGAACAGCAGTTCTGATCTCTTTGGATCACATAAATTATAGAACCAAGTTTTACATAAAATTGCAGGGGCTTTAACCTTTGACCTCCTTGAAATCCATTAACAGACCCACTCAAAGGAGCCGAGAACTGCACATTGACCCCTGCTCTAGAGACAGATGGTGCCGTGAGGGATTCCATGTCAGAAGGGGACAGGGGAACAGGAATTGGCGTGTGGAGACACTGACGCTGGACATTGAAGTGAGCCAATGAGATTTGTCCCAGTTCTTAGATCTTTACCTAAGTGATCCGTTAATTGTTTTGCTCTAATTTGGGGGATGTTTATCAAATCATCAAAGTAGGTCATCTGGAATATATTTTTTCTGTAGGAGTTGAAAGATTTCTTTTGTCTCCATCAGAGTTTTCTGCATGTAGAGTCTCATATTTCTGTGGGATTCTTTTTTCAGAAACAAAAATCTTTTCCCTCTCCTTCTGAACATAGGAACTTACTATCCCACCATCTTGGATATTTTAACTTGGTTTTAATTTTAGTTTTGGGATGAGGCTTACCATGTGGGAGATTGAAGAATTCTCAACAGAAATCAAAGCACTTTAAAATATTTTTTAAAATTATGGGTAGCAGGAGAAGCTTCTTCTATATAACAAGGTAAGGTTACTCCAACTATTTAATTAGTTGGAGTAGCTTTAACATTGGCTGTATTTGCCGACTTGTGTGGTACCTAGCGTATCAATGACCTGCTTTAGGCTTTGATTTGCTTATGTGTAAAAGGAAGACAGTAACTAAATTTTTTTCCCCCACATCTCTATCTGATGAAGTCACACAGTCCATACAGTTACATAAAGTATTTTTAAGAGGCAGCCCTGTATCGGTATCGCATTAAGAGGCTCGGTATCATAGCTGAATGCTGGTGCACTTGGATTTTAATGCTCAGGTCTTATTCTGGTATTACATTAACTGCTTTGTCGATTTTAGAGAGTTGATTCTTGAGAAGTCAGTGATCACTTTGCCAACTCTAGTGGTTGAATCTCTATTATGATATAATTTGCCCTTGGGATATCATACAGCAAGAGTGATACTTGTTAATTGACCATCTTGGCATCTTATTATATACCTCCTCTAGCAATTGTTTCATCAAGTGTTCCATCACTGGAGATTTATTCATGATAATCCACTTATGCCAATCAGCTAAGAATACTTCCCAATGTGTTCATGCCAGTTAAATGTTGCAGTTACAAGTTCTGGCAATTTCATCTTAACATGTTTGTTCTTCAGCTGAGGTTATTTTATTGGGCTAGCAGTCATCTGGGTAGGTGGAAAGCTTGGTTCCAATAATTATTTCAATTTTATAAACAGAATTACTGTTGCTGTGATGCCACAAAGAAAACACTATCATTTGGAGTAGAATTTAGAAGGTATACGTGCCAAAATAAGTTCAGTTTATCATAGTGTGGATACTATAAATATTTCCTGAGAATAATGCTATCACTTATTTAAATAGTAACAAACCTGTAGTTTTCTCATCTGTGTATGTAATTCACTAGGAAAATGAACTCTACTCTGGTGAAATGACTCAGATTAACCAAAGTTTGAATCCCA